CTCGCTCGCACGCACTCTCGCTCGCACGCACTCTCGCTCGCACGCACGCACGCACTCTCGCTCGCACGCACTCTCGCTCGCTCGCACGCACACACTCTCTCTCGCACGCACGCACGTACTCTCTCTCGCACGCTCGCACGCACTCTCTCTCGCACGCACGCACGTACTCACTGTCACTCACTCACTTTGGGGTACGCTTCCCATTCCAAAGGTTGGCATGTGTTCTGACTCCTTTTGGGATGGGCTATATCATTGTCAGCTGTGCTATTTTGTGTTTCTCTGTCCTCTGGACCTTCGCTGTCCTCTGGACCTTCCCTGGGCTGTATGGCAATGGTTGATATTACCACTGGGCCTTCGGACAGTAGCGTTGGCTTGCGTGTATACAAAGCCCTGCTGGGACAAGGATTGAAATACTGTGCTCAGTCCTGAACTTTGGAAGGATGTCGAAAAAGGAGTGCTGTCTATATTTGGCAGAATTTGACCCACCTCTAAGGGCTGAATTACGAGAAAAAGTGATACAAACTGTGGTTGAATTCCTGGAATTTGGCAGGGTTGAAGATTGATTTGTTCCAAGTTTTTAAGCTGCCTTATGGAGGAGTTGTTGAGAAAGTGTTTCTGCTTCTGGAAGTCTGGGACTGGGAAGCACAGTCTAAAAGTTAGAGCTAGATCTTTTAAGCAATGAAGTAGGAAATGTTCCTGCATACACAGGGTAATAGATATTTAGAAGAGTCTTCCACAAATGGAAATTTATGCCATATCAATTTCAAGCTTTGGATTGATAAGTTTTTATTATTAAAACGCAACAAGGGATATTGATCAAAGCTGGGCTTATGCACATAGGTTGCAGATCAGCCGTGATTTGATTGAATTTGGGACCTGAATGACCACCATCGGTTGGTGTAAATTCCACACTATGTGCTCGTGATCTACTGCAGTATGGATTCTGAGAGGAACGAGGACCATGTTGAGTCTCATAAAATAAATGATGTGATCACAAAAAGACCTCCATCGGTGTTAGCTGAAAGAAACATTCTGGTAAAAAAGCTAGATTTCCACCAAAATGTCTTTGATAAGTTGTGAGAAGAGAAGGACAACAGTGTTGCCACATGTTGACCAAAGCTTTTGATGAGCCACAGACTGAGAACAAAAACGTTTATAAAGCTTGTGTTCAGAAATAGAGTATGAAGTATACAGGAGATTTGTCTTTTTGTCTCTGTGACTAAGGTAAACAATCCACAAAGGTTATCTGTGTGCATGTTGTAGATTTTGTCCTTTCTTCATGGGAAAGTCCATGTCCACGAGCTAAGTACAGAGAGAGACCCATGTTACTAGGGTGGCAGAGCGGTTTGAGAAGTCTAGCTGGTTATGGTCTTGGAAGATAGTCCTCACAACAGTGGTGGGATCTAAAATGATCAATGATTTGAAGTAGAAACTTGGCAGATACTTGAAGGAAATTAACATATATATGGATACAGGGTTTAGGTGTGGGAATGAGACTGAATGGATTGCTGTAATGTAATCCAGCATGGACTTGATGGCCCGAATGGCCTCCTTCTGTGCTATAAGTAACTATATCGTGGCTCAGGTTTCACTGAAAATAGGCTGTTTACAAGACTGAGCTCATTTCATAAATTGCACAATGATGTCGGAGATACACTGAGATAATGAACACGCTGAGGTCTCAAACTGGCACAGTTGACCCTGGGCTGAACTTGAGAACAACGCAAGAGGCAACAGGGTGTATCTCTCGAACTGAAATCTGAAAATGCTGTTTGTTAAAATGCCAACGCCATTGTGTAAACAAGCTCCTGTGATGTGGCTTCTTTAGTTCTTCAAGGCATCATTGAGAATTACGCTGCTGCATCAAAAAATAAACACAGCAGGGCTGGAGAACTCGTTCAGCTGGGGAGGATGGAACAGAGGGGGCCCCACCCTGTCTTTACAGGGCCTGCAGTTCTATGGGCCCCACTGTCACGCTGAAACATGAGTCCATCAGGCTGACAACTGAACTCTTGTTGCAACAAGTGGCTTTAGTTTTTTTGTCACTGGATCTAGTTATTTGCTACCTGGTGAGCCACAGTACCTGCATGTGTGGAACTCCAGTTCATTAAAATATTACAGAATGCACAATACATGTAACACATCTCATAACCACACATAACCTTTCTGATGAAGGGTCTAGGCCCGAAATGTCAGCTTTCCTGCTCCTCTGATGCTGCTTGGCCTACTGTGTTCATCCAGCTCTACACCTTGTTATCTCATAACCACACTCGGCAATATGCTGAGCAGCTTGCACTTAATGCCAGAATTGGACTTGCAGCATGAATTTCTGTTTCTGAAACAATCAAAGGTGCTTTCCTTTCTATTGTCCTATTGCCCAAGCTGTTACATAATTACCCAAATTGATGGGCATTCAGGTACCCACTCGCCATATTTGCATTGCCCTCTCTAACAATTCACTCAGAGACAGAGAAAAGCCAATCTGTCTCTGCCAGTGTTCAATCTCTCACCTGGGGGATATCATGTATTGTGTGTTCAATTGAAATAGTGAGTATTGGAAACTCACCAAATGACAAAATATTGGTAGTGTCTGACCCTTCACTAATGGGGTGCAGGTACACAGTTGCTTGAAGGTCGACTCACCGGTAGACAGTGTTGTGAAGAATGAATTTGGTACGCTTCCCTTTTCTGGTCAGTGCATTGAGTTTATGAGTCGGGACGTCATGTTGCGGCTGTACAGGACATTGGTTAGGCCACTTTTAGAATACTGGTCTTCCTGCTAAAGGTAATATGTTGTTAAACTTGAAAGAGTGTAGAAAATATTTACAAGGATGCTGCCAGGGTTGTAGGGTTTGATCTGTGGGTAGAGGCTGAATAGGCTGGGGTTATTTTACCTGGAGCATTGGAGGCTGAGGGGTGATCCTATAGGGGTTTATAAAATCATGAGGGACGTGGATAGGGTGAATAGTCAAGGTCTTTTCCCCAGGGTGGGGGAGTCCAAAACTAGAGGGCATAGGTTTAAGGTGAGAGGGGAAGGATTTGAAAGAGACTGAAGGAGCAACTTTTTCACACAGAGGGTGGTGCGTGTATGGAATGAGCTGCCAGAGAAAGTGGTGGAGGCTGGTACAGTTACAACATTTAAAAGGCACCTGGATGGGTATAGAAGTAAGAGAGTTTAGAGGGATATGGGCCAAATGCCTGTAACTGGGAGAGGATCAATTTAGAATATTTAGTCAGCATGAACTAGTGGAAATGAAGGGTCTGTTTCTGTGCTGTATAACTTTATAATACCTGGTGCCACCATCGTTATTGTCAAGTTGAAGGACATTGTGAAGGATGGCTTTCTATCTTCTCAGTAAAATGTGTTGCGGAGCTGACTCATTTCAATCATAGGAGGTGCAACACTCTAACATTAAAATTCTCCACATGCCCAGATAACATGTCTTGCCTTTGTCTCACTTCCAGGGTTGGCTAAATCAAAAGAAATAGACCAGCAGGAACAAAATGGACCCTCATCACCTGTAAGTATCCAAAAGTCTGTGAATGTGCTTGAATTCAATCTCACACTTCTTCACCAGGACATTGGCTTTCTCAGTTCAACCTAACAGTCACAAATTTCTAGGACTGTGACCAGAAATACGTGTTTTGCAGATTTCACCCTTGTTTGGTGAGAATCCCACACAAAGTTGTTTTCACAGAGATACAGAAGGTTTCCAGGACTGGTTCCTCCAATCCCAGTTCATTAGCTAGCACAGCAGAAAGATTTTTGCTTGTTGACCGTTAGTTAAAAGAAAAATACGTACCAATTACACAGCACAAAAAATTACCATCGTCTTTGTAATCCTTTAGGAAAAATCCACCAACTTAAACCTGAATCTAAAACTTTGCAAGAAAACTTAAAACTAGTGAAAACCATGGATCATCGTGGGGTTACAAGACATACAAGAGGAGATGTTTAATCTTTGTTGCATATTCGTCAACTTGTCAGTAGAATTGATGAAAATGATGAGGGACGTGTACCTATTCAGTGTATATTTTGGAAACCACGTAAAATTTGTGCCTGTCACCTTCCTACTTCAAATTTTTCTTTTTTTTTTTCCTATTCATTTGTGGGATGTGGGCATTGCTGGCTGGCCAGCATTTCTTGCCCATCCCTAGTTGTCCTTGAGAAGGTGGTGATGAGCTGCCTTCCTGAACCGCTGCAGTCCTCCTGCTGTCCAGGATTCCCCTTGAAGTTGACCTTCAAACCACACTTTACACCTCCATTGAAGTCTATCATAGAGTCATACAACATGGAAATAGATTCTTCAGTCTAAGCAGTCCATGCCAAACATAATTCCAAAGTCAACTAGTCCCACCTGCCTGCTCCTGGCCCTTATCCTCCAGACCTTTCCTGTTCATGTACTTATCCACATGTCTTTTAAACATTGTAATTTTACCCACATCCACCACTCCTCAGGAAGGTCATTCCACACGCAAATCCCCCTCTGTGTAAAAAATTGCCTATTATGTCTTTTTTAAATCTTTCTCCTCTCACCTTAAAAACGTGCCCTCAAGTCTTGAAATTCCCCATCTGAGGGAAAAAGACAACTGTCATCAACTCTATCTATACCTCTCATTATTTTATAAACTTCTTTCAGGTCGCCTCTCAATTTGCTATGCTCCAGTGTTCTGTGTTGCTATGTTTCAGCCTATCCAACCTTTCCTTATAACTCCAACCTTCCATACCCAGCAACACTTTGGTAAATCTCTTCTGAACCCTCTCCAGTTTAATAATATCCTTCCTATAAGTGGGCGACCAGAACTGGAAATGGTACTCCAGAAGAGGCCTCACCAATGTCATGTAGAACCTCAATATGACTTCCCAACTCCTATACTCAAAGGACTGAGCAATGAAGGCAAGCGTGCCAAATACCTTTTTAACCATCCTGTTTATATGTAACGCAAACTCCAAAGAATTAGGTACCTTAACCCCTAAGTCCCTCTGTTCTACAACACTACCCAAGACCCTACCATTGACTGTATAAGCCCTACCCTTGTTTGTTACACCAAAATGCAATAGCTCACATTTATACAGATTGAATTCAATCTGCGGTTTTTCAGCACATTGACCCATTTCATCAAGATCCCTCTGTAATCTTAGAAAACCTTTATTCACTGTCTACTGTGCCATCAATATTGATATTACTAAACATGCCTTCTGTATTCTCATCCTAATCATTTGTATAAATGATTAACAAAAGAGGACCCAGAACTGATCCTTTTCGTTTTCACTCTGTTCAAGACGAGCAAGTGGTCAAAGATAAAATGGAAAAGGAATGAAAAACTCAGTAAGAAGAGTCATAAATGCTACCATTTGAGAATATGTCGTGAAGATTAGGTAACATTAGCTTTTTTCCACGTTGACCATGAAATTAAACAATTAATTTGATTCATCCTGGTCATTGAGGGCCAGGAATGTGTCTATTCCAGAACATTGAAGGGTGGGGAGGAGTGATGAAAAGTTTTACTCTGTTTCATTCATATGTATACTTATCAAACTACATGTGCCAGTAGACATGGCTGTCCTGGTTGACACGAATTCACTACTGAGTTATCATCACTCTGATTAGCCCTGACTGATTCTCCGAACCCACAAAGTTCAAGCAGAATGAACCTGAGTTGAAAATTTCAGTTGGACCGCCAGCCTTGAGTGCATTCCCACAGGGTTGTGTGGTTTCAGCGTTGTGATAAATTCCACTGGGAATTTCTGGTTTTCCCTTCGGCTGAGGACCTTGCTCCAATATTCCCCTCTGTTGTGGTTTCCTACATTTTGTGGATCTGATGCAGCTTTGGTTAAAGTCCGAAAAGTGACAGAAGTGTCCTTTCACCCAGATGACTAGATTTTGTTGGTGTTTTCAACAGGTACCAAGCATTGTGATGGAATCTGTAGCCTATGCAGCTCTATAGATTGACAGCATTTTATTTTGTGGTTTTGTTTTGTTCATTCTAAGAAGTGGGCCCTGATTTAAAATCTCCAAACCCTTTTGGTCTGGACAACAACTAAGTTCTAAGTGAACACTGGAGGAAATACAGCTGAAACACAGACACTGCAACGCCCAAGGAGCATGTGAATACAGCTCCCACACAATACTCACATCAATGAGCCTTCCAAGCCTCGTTGACATGGATGGTGTGAAGAATATTTTCTAATTCTAATTCTTTGTAGCAGATTGACTTTTAAAGGGGCTGTGGCTCATTAGTCAGTGGAAGAGTCCAAATAAATAAAGCTTTTAATAGTTGTTGGAAATTCAGACCAAGGTTCATGGCAAACCTCACTGAAGAATGGGCAGAAATTGGAAGTGTTTCACCAGGCACAACAAAGGGGTTTTTATCATTTTTTTTTTTTTGTTGGAATGCAGAACGTTGTTTCATTACGTTTGTCGAAGACGGTTTCAATGTGAAAACTGGAGACAAGTTTTGAGGTTCTCCAATTTTTATACAAGTCTTCTTGACTGATGCACAAATTGACCAGAAACAAAACATCTTATGTTTTCCAACAATTTACAATCCAAAATGTGCTCCTTGCATTTTTTTTTGTGGCAGGGGGTCTGAAATGCCATATCTGAATATATTGATGATGAATTGAGAAACAGTGCAGCAATTGAGAACTGACTTTTATTCTGTATTTTTTGGGAGTGCAGTGGGCAGGTCATGTTTGCAGTGGAACAGCTGAAATAAACACTGGCACAAGTCCTTGCAGAATGTTGAGTGAGATCAATGCAGAAGGGAGGTAAACAAGGTTCAGCATTTAATGGGACAAAACACCTTTTGTTTCCTTGCTGGTTCCTGAACTATGTGGCAGAATTAGATGAGCCACAAAGCCATCTCTTGTGCTGTGGTGTCTTGTAATATTCCACAGTGAAGAGAATTGGTGCAAGGATTTCTTTGGCCCTGACTCTGGCCTAAAGTGACAGAAAAAAAAACCTAGTGGGACAGTATGTATCTGTACAGTGTGGAAGCAGGCCATTCAGCCCATCAAGTCCACACCAACCCTCCAAAGAGCATCCCTCCTTGACCTACCCCCCTACCCTATCACTGTAACCCCGCATTGCCCATGGCTAATCCCTCTAGCCTGCACATCCCTGGACACGGGGAGAATGTGCAAACGCCACATGGACAGTCACTGAGGGTGGAATCGAACCCAGGTCCCTGGCGCTGTGAGACAACGGTGTTAACCACCAAGCTACTGTGCCATCCTACACTCAGTTCCACTTGAAGTTTTAATTCAGATATTTTATGACAGTGCAATGTGGTGCAACCTGCTCTCCTACTTAAATTGAAACGGGTGCTTGCATCTGACTGCTTTCCCTTTTATCAGCAAACCTAAGAGCATGTACACAGTCGGTGAGTATGCCGCTGTGTGCAGGTTGCCCCACCTTGCTTGAACGGTTAGTTGGCTCAAGCACAGGAATGGCAGATGAGCACTGGATTATCTTTGTGCAGAAGGAGATTACACAGGTTGCACAGAAACTGCTTTAATCCAGAACAAGGGTGCCTACAGAACAGACCTCGAATGGTGATGCCGTCTGGCTTCTCTCTCCAGCAGACAAAGACTGAAAGGATCATTTTGGGCAGCAGAAACTTACATTTCTTTGTTGTCAGCTGATTTCCCTGTTTGTTTGATTTTCTGAAAAGTCCTTTGATCATAAAGGAGATAGATTTTCAGGGCTTCATCGAGTTGAGCAAGACGGTCAAAGATTTGTGAGCAGTCCTGAGTACCATTACTGTTCAGCATCATACAAATCAGCACCATTTCGATATACTTTGCCCACCAATATTTGAAATCTTCATTATTTTCGTTAAAAGCAGGCATCCTAAAGGTTGGCTAATTCAGGTGCCACATAGCTAGCCCATTCCTCATGACCTCTGTCTCCAAACCATCCCTCCCACCTACACTCCTACCATTGGCATAGGAAAGCTAAAATGGATCAACATTTGATAGATTGTATCAAGCCAATAACATTTAACCAGCTCCAGTAGTTTAAAATGAATCATTTTTGAACTTTATTGGCATTCTGAATAACAATTATTCCATGTCCACTAACTTTTAGGGAAGGAAATCTACCGTCCTTAGACGGTCTGACCTACACATGACTCCAGTTAACTGGAGTTAGCTGTCCTTTGAAATGGCCCCAGAAAGAAATTCCATTGAAGGGGCAATTTAGGGATAAGCTGCAATGCCAGTGACATAGCGTGGAAGAGAACGGCACAGTGACTCAGTGGTTAGCACTGCTGCCTCACAGTGCCCAGGACCCCGGGTTCAATTCCAGCCTCTGGCAACTGCCTGTGTGGAATTTCTTCCTGTGCTTGTGTGGGATTCTTCTGGGTGCTCCAGTTTCTTCCCACAGCCCAACGATGTGCAGGGTAGGTGGATTGACCCGTGCTAAATTGCCCCATATCGTCCAGGGATGTGCCGGCTTGGTGAGTTAGCCGTGGGAACATGCAAGGTTACAGGGATATAGGGTAGAGGGGTGGGATGCTCTTCAAGTCAGTGTGGACTTGATAGGCCGAATGGACTGTTTCACACAGTAGGGTTTCAATGATTGAAGAATAAGGTGTAAGAAATGCCACTTTTATCCTGGATTCCTTGCAACAGAGTTCTGGATGCAATTTGAGGAGACTCCAGGCAAGTCCTGGGAGAGTTCACAAACCAACCAATTGACTGACTGCTTGTTTCTTTCCTGTCTTGTGTCTTTCATGTTGATGAAGAGGGGCATTGAGGTGCCCAAGTAACAAGTGTTTATCTTCTCTTTCAGCAAATTCCAGCCCCTGGGGTGTTCAGCACTGAAAGTATCCTCTCGTTTAAAGCACTTCTGAGTGAGATGGAAGGTTCAGTGGGCAATGAGCTGAACAACATCCAGGCAGACAAGACCGCTGTCCTGAGTTTAATCAAAGAAGAGGTGATAGCTCTGATTTCTTTGGCTTTGATAATAAACCATTGGCATCCATTGGGTTAGTGACTGGTCCACAACGAGAAGCAAATGATGTTTTTGTGGGATATCTTGAGAGTTCCTCACAGCAGATCTGGGCTTTTGAGGGGAATTTGATGGTTTTGGAGCCTGACCACGTTCTGACTCTAGTGGGTAATGGCTGATCTCCACAGCCTAACCAAACAGTGAAAAATTACCAGTTACGCCGTCTCTTCACTTAATTCTGGGAAGTTTGTTGTGGGGGTTTGGGGGGAAGATCCTCCCTTGCTAAGATCCTAGGTGTTTAAAATAAGTTTCAGTTCAATCCTACTGGTCTCAAATCAAGTATAAATATCCCTACTATGAGACGGATAAAAAAATTCCTTGTTCCTGATACCTATCCAGTTACTTACTGTAAAGTGGAAATGGTGTTTCATCTGTTTGTATTGAATGTCAGTCACTCAACATCTTGGAACTTTCTTGCCTTTCGTTCAGTGTTGCTCGGTCAAAGTTCTGGAGTTGCCTCCCTACCAGCACTGTGGGTGTCCTTACACTCCCTCGGACTGTAGCAGTTCAAGAAGGCAGCTCACCATCACCTTCCCAAGGCAAGTAGAGATGGGCAATAAATGTAGGTCCAGCCAGCGACGACGACATCCCAAAAACAGGTTGTTTTTTTTTAACAAGTCGGCAGTCGATACCGTCTGATGAAATTGTTACTCGTGCCTTAGTTCCCTCTATCTTTGACTACCCATGTACACTGTGGGCTGACCTTCCACCTTCTGTTCACTGAAGCTTCCCCAAACCTCTGACTGCACCAGACTCTCACGGAGGCCCCGTTCACCCATCACCTCTGAACTTCATCAACTCCTTGTTTGGTAATGCAGACAGGAATTCTCATCCCTGTTTTCAGACGGCACCGTCAATTTTGCTGCCCTGTCTTCACATGCTCTGAGCTTTCCATTCTTCTTTGTAATCTCCTGCATATCCCAGTGACACACCTTCAGTTGCCAAGGCCCTAAGGCTCTCCATCTCCCTCCCTCCTCCTTCAGGATGCTTTTTAAAGCATTGCAGTTTTCCCAATATTTTGTTCATCTGAATTATCAGCAATCTGTGGTGTCAAATTTAGTTTGCTCCTGTGAAATGATAGCAACGTTTTACTCTATTGAAAGTGTGACTTAAATCACACGTTTTTAGATGTGCCAAAAGCAGTAACAGACCATCTGGCATATCATCCAGTTGTCTTTTGTGAACTGCTGCCTTTCTTCTGTTTTTCTCTAGCCCTCAGCTGCCCTCTCCTGGTAACTCCATTCCTGTCCATTTCCACATAGGCAGGGCAGTCTGGTACACAAGCCACTGGAACACTGCATTCTAACCAGTATGTGCATTAGGGTCCTAGGCCTGTTGCAATGTTTGAGTGAAGCCCAAGACGAGCTGGAGGAAGAGCACCATGTTTTCCACTGAGGCACTTTTTCTAGCTTCAGGACTCAACATAGAATTTAACAAATTCTGATCACCCAGTCATAGGGAAGATATTATTAAGTTGGAGAAGTTTCAGAAAAGATTTGCCAGGATGTTGCTGGGATTGGAGGATTTCAGTTTTGGGGAGAGGCTGAATAGGCGAGGACTTCTTTCATTGGAGCAGAGGAGGTTAAGGAATGACATTATAGAGTTTTTTTAAATCATAAGGTGAATGGCAGGTGTCTTTTCTCTCGGATGGGGGAGCAAGACTAAGGGGCACATTTTTAAGGTCAGAGGAGAAAGATTTAAAAAAGACATGGGGGTATTTTTTTTACACAAAGAATGGATCATATGTGGAATGAATTTCCAGAGGAAATGGTGGATGTCGCTACAGTTTAAACGTTTAAAAGTCATTTAGATAACTACATGAATAAAAAATGTTTGCTGGGATACAGACCAAGCGCAAGCAGGTGGGACTAGTTTAGTTTGAGATTATGGTCAGCATGGACTGGTTGGACTGAAGGATTTGTTTCCATGCTGTGTGACTTTGTAACTTCAGACTGTGAACATGGTCCTCGATTTTGACAGTTTCTGTCTCTGGTTTCCATGTTTTGTGTTTCTTTGTCTTTCTTTCAGTCAGAGCTGACCTTCACTGTGCTGCTAATGCTGCTCCAGATCTATGCTTTGTCCCGTTCCTTTTGTTGTTGGTCGCCTGTGATCGCTAATATCCCTCACCTTCTGACCTTCCCTCTGTCCTTTCTTTCAAAAGTTGAAAACCCACTGCTTTTCCATGTGCGTTCAATTCTGAAGAAGAATCTCGCATCAGACTCAAAACGTGAACTCTATTTCTCTGCTTTGGAGATGCTGCCAGACCTGCTCAGTTTCTCCACCACTTTGTCTTTTTATTTCAGAAGTCCTGTATTCGCAGTTTTATGGTACAATGCGTAAGGACAGAGTGCCTTCTGAAATTCAGGGTGCATTGAGGGAGGGAATCTGGAGGCAGCAGGTGGTGAAAGGTGGTACAAGGTTTAGGCTTGACACATTTCTGAGGTGGTTAAATGGAGATGAGGAACTGAGGGACATTGGAAATCGCTGTTGTGAAGCTGCTTCCTGTGGCACAGTGCTCAATCACCAAGTAATCTGTAATAGGTATGCATGACACATCGCTTTTTTTTTTACAGATTGCAGCTAAGGAAGCAGAGGCAAATGAATGGAAGCAAAAATATGAAGACAGTCGACAGGAAGTCATTGAAATGAGGTAAAACATGAAATGTTGAAAACAGTTGGTTCATTCCATGACAAAATGAAAATCCAATTGACTTTAAGTTTTCTTCTTAACAGTTGAGATGCACAGTTTTCTTCAGTGTCCTATCTTTTGGGTACTTCCATGTGAACTTAGTTCTAAATAAAAAGCACTCAGTTTGAAAGAGAGGCTGGTTTGGGACCATTTTCATTTATTTGCAGAGACCTGTTTGACACTGACTTCTATGGGTGGTGTCTGCAGTTGGTGGAATCAGAAGTTGAATGGTCTGTCTGGATCAGTTAACATGGATACAGGAGCAGTAGAAAACCTTAATTGTACCTGGTAATTGCAAGGTAGATGTGTTTATCTCAGTTCAACACATCTGGCTCAAGTGCAAATTCTACATTGGTAGAAATCCTCAATCTGTCAGAACCCTGAACATTGAATCAAATAAACAAATAAACAAATGGCTGGTGACAATCTTGGGCAAAATCTGAGAACATGAGCACCTCCGTGACATCATCACAATGTTGTTCTAGGATCCTAAAGCCCTTACACGAAACATACAACAATCATTCGCAATTGAAAAGCTGATATCAGCAATGGTCAACTCATACTGACTGAATTAGTGTAAAAACTGATCTGGTTTGCCAATGCCCTTTAAGGATGGCAATCTGCAATCCTTATTCATTCTGAGTTCATTGTGACTGCAAACCCACAGCTGTGTGACTAACTATGAACTGCCTTCTGAAATGGGATGGTTATGTAGACATATTCCAAAATAACTCACATCACCATCTTGTTTAGGGCAATTGCAGCAAAACTTGTGTGACATGAATGACACATGTGAAATGGGAGTCACATTTGATTTCAGGTTATAGTGTGGGGCTGCATCTGCCTATTGCTTTTTATCATTACTTCTTATTGTGAAACAAGATTCTGTTTTTTCCTGTCTTCAGTGTCTTGGGTAGTTTCAGCAAATCAAATGCCCTGGCTACCAGATACAGCTTCTGACTATCTCCTTCATTCTGACAAAGCCGCTGTGACCTGTATGTAGTTGATTTAACACACATTTCCTTAGCTGTGTTGGACTGATGACCCTCATTTCCCAAGGGAAATATCCAGCTCGCATGAATAGTTCTTGTTTCCAAGTGACATGTGGGGGAGAACCTCTGATATTGTCATTAAGTTCCATGTTCATCACATGCAGAGTACATGTATTTCATTATGATTCGTGAATCATGGCTTTGCAAACAAGTACTTCTCCACACTTGTAAATGGGTCAAACTTCAGAACTATAGGTCAATAAAGAGAGAGAGAGAGACCCTAATGATCATACAAATGCTGAAAAGTGACAGGGCAAATTGATGAGATGGCCAAACAATGAATTTGGCTTTTCTTGGGTTTATGCGTTGTGGAACTGAATATAACAGACTGGACATGGTTGTAGAAATGTATAAATCACTTGTTAGGCCTCAGCTGGGGATTTGTGTGTTGTTGAGGACACCACGTCTTGGGTAAGATGTCAAGATCTTGGAAAAGGTGCAGCAGGGGAAGTTAGCCAGTGTGTGACTACAGATGCGGATCTTCAGTGATCAAAGTGTTTGAATTGTTTGGCAAATGGGAAAGACTAAAGGGTGACGCCTTTTGTGGTTTCAAGATGATGGAACATTGCCTCTAGCATGGAGTCAGTAACCAGAGGTCCTCGATTTCCCCCTACATGGTCTTTGGAGTCTCAAATACTCTTCCTGAAAAACTGATTTCATGAACAATTTCAAAGGAGTTGGGTAGGTACTTGAAGATGAGCAATGTCCAAGACTATGGAACAAAAGCAGGGACCCGGAACTGAGCATGGCTATTTGAAAGAGAAATTACAGGTACAATGGGGTAAATGGCCAAGGTCTGTGCTGTAGCTTCCGAGAAGCTGATTATTTTTCAGAAAAAAAACCATGTCCTTTCCTGTCATTTGAGGTTTACACCATGATCACCATTCTACCTTGGATTGATACCTTAAACAACTAGGCCATAGCAAAGTACCTACTTTGGATGCATTTCAGATTTTTTATTTCTTTCACACGTGGTTTCCTCACAGGTTTGTTGATGGGCTTTGGTACAGCTAGATTTCAGGATTTCTGAGGCAAGGATGTATAGTTGCCGAGCACCACTGTTTGTGGAGTTTCTCCTTTTGAGATGCTGTGGGCTACTTGGCACTGTTCTGATGCTAGAAGATGCGATAACATTTCAGCAGATGATCACTGGGCTGTGTGATTCCATGTGACCAAACAAGAAACAGAACCTCCATTGATTTTTCAAGCAAGTGAGTATATTCATCCCATGCTTTTCACTGGAGAGCATGATTTGGTTGTTAGAATGTAGTCACAGCAATATTGATAATAAGGTGAATGGCAGCTGTGTTTTCCCTGGAGTTATGATGGGGAATGGCTGAACCCCTCTAATAATTAAACTAAAACACAAGCCCCAATCTGTTATGACAGGAGTAGGGGGTTCTCCTCTAATAATTACCCCTGAAACACCCAGAGAAGTTTGTCTTTCCCCACATAATCTGTTAAAAGAGTGGTTAAAAGAAGGAAAATCCCTGATCTCCACTTTACCAGTAAAAAGAAACAATTTCAATATTTAACCCAACAATGAAGAAATTAACAAAATTACCAACAAACCGACAATTTCCCCCTAGACTATGAACTACTTTCTCACTGGTCTAAATTCTACTGGAATGCTGTTCAAATAAAAACAAGTCCCACTAATGTAAACTTAATTAATAAGAAGCAATAAACTATAACTTAATCTCTCCAAATTGGCACAGACTGTCTTCTGGAATATTCTGTCTTCTCCGCTCTCTTCACAAACATCTTTCTTCTGTTAATTCTGCTGTCAGGGATGTATTATCTCTATAATTTCTTCAATGACGACTTTGAGCTAAAATACCATGCTACCTTTGATTAATTAGATGGGCTTTCTCTGAGAAGTGAATGGTGCTAACTGTGGCAGTTGTCTCTCTCTTTCAGATGGCACTTGGCTCTCCCTGATTTTCCAGATGACCTCGTCTTTCATCTCCTTAATGACATAATCAGATTCTTATATGATTGGCTTCAGGTTATCAACACCATCAGAATTGAATTGGCTTTCTGTATCTCGGTGCTTTGTTTAAATTATTTGGTTGAGTTCAAACTCATTGTCACAACGTCAAAACAAGACTGCTGTTTTGCCTGCCACCTGTAAGGCATTTTTGATACACTTCTTTCACTTTTTGAGGCTCTCTGTACGGGCAACTTCAGCTGCTGCTCACAGACACAGGATTTTTTTTTTTTAAATTTCTAAAAGTACAGAAAAAACACAAATTCTCTTAAAGGAACCACACATTTCAGCTTCCTGCTTTCCACTTCATGATTACTCTACCAACTTCATAACACTAGGGTGGGGGATTTCAAGACTAGGGGCATATTTTTAAGGAGAAAAGAGAAAGATTTTAAAATGTTATGAGGGGCAAATTTTTTTACACAGAGGGTGGTTTATATATGGGTTGAACTTGCAGAGGAAGTGGCTTCAGTAACAAAGTTTAAAAGGCATTTAAATACGTACATCAATGGGAATGATTTGAAGGGATATGGGTCAAGCACAGGCAGGTGACACTAGTTTAGTTTGGGATTATGGTCGGCATGTAATGGTTGGACTGAAGGGTCTGTTTCCATGCTGTATGACTCTATGACTATGATTTTACATGATTAATGGATCATTTCTAGTGTACCTCTTCAGTTGTCCTGCCATTCATAGAATGTTTTCTCCTTGTTCGAGTAGAAAATACTACATCAGAACTGTTTGTAGTCGACTCATTTGGCCAGGGTAATCTAGAGAGCCCATCATCGATCCCACACAATACTAAATTGTCTAATTGAGAGCTGATAGCAAAACACCCACCTCTGCATACGGTTCACGGTGAGCAAAGATATCCTGTGTGAGGCCCAAATATTGTGGTCTGTTCGTGTGTAAATTCCAGGCCATAGTTACTGGTTGGATCATCTCATGCCAAAAATGATTCCTGGAGCTTCTTTCGTTATCTGTGTATAGTTAATTTCTGCTTTATTTACTGTATTCATGGGAAAACTATTGGCGTGTCTTCACCATTCAGTAATATGTGAGAAAGACTGCTGTCACTCCAAAATATCCGATGATATCATCATGTCTTAAGATGGGACTGTTAAACTGACAGTGCACCATGCTTACCAAATACATTACACACAAAGTTTGCTGGGAAGATCTGGAACTTGCCTTTCCAATCTTGTGTTTGTCTTGTGGCATTCCACAGATGTTACAAATGAAAGAAAAACTGAATAAGCCCAGCATTAAAATGTACAGTTGTGAAATACCTTATACAGCTGTTGTATTTGATATGGACCCAGTGGTTTGTGAAACTTGCTGTTATGTAGCCTGAAGATTTTTTTTAAAGATTTGCTAAAATAATTTTGATGTTCTGAAGTATTAACAACAATCATCTCTTTTTTTCAGAAATTGTTATTTACTTCATGGTTTTAAGGCTTATTGAGGTTTTTCATCTGAAGAAATATTTTGAGTGACTTGATTGTGACATAGTGTGATTTTTAAAAAAATCTTAGAATTCCTACAGTGTGGAAGCAGGCCATTTAGCCCATCGAGTCCACAATGACCATCCAAAGATATCCCACCCAGACCCGCACCCTATACCCTATCCCTGTAACCATGCATTTCCCAGGGCTAACCTACACATCCTTGGACACTATGGGCAATTTAGCATGGCCAATCCTCCTAACCTGCAAGTCTTTGCTCCAGTCTCCTTCTACAGTCCAATCCTGAGGAAACCCACACAGACACGGGGAGAATGTCTGTCTATGTGGAGTTTGCACAGTTGCCCGAGGGTGGAATTGAACCGAAGCGTTGAAGCAGCAGTGCTAACCACAGAGCCACTGTGCTGCCCTAAAATAGAAATTTTCCTATTTAGTGTTCCTATTTCTGATTCAGTTTGTGAAATATATCTGACAGAAAAAAGAACAAAAGTGAGAATTGTTCTATCCCAAACTCATTGTCTTTGACAACAAATCTCAACCAACTGCTAGAATTTTAAGCAGAGCTCATCACTCCGAAATGGCCAACATGCACTTAAAGCATATTTACAACACATTTGGCCTCAACTAACAAAAGAAATATTGACAGACTTTTAAGATCAGTGTTGTAAAAGGTACTTTCTAATTAGGAAATCAATCAACTAATTCTTTGTTCCATTTTTCTACAGAAAGATTGTTGCAGAGTATGAAAAAACCATTGCACAGATGATTGGTACGTATTCGATTTCTTAGTTTGATTGAATTAGACTGACACGGGTGACACGGTGGCTCAGTGGATAGCACTGCTGCCTGACAGCACCAGGGACACGGGTTCAATTCCAGCCTCGGGCAAGTGTCTGTGTGGAGTTTGCACATTCTCCCCATATCTGCGTGGGTTCTCTCCCACCGTCTAAAGATGTGTGGGTTAGGTGGACTAGCTATGCTAAATTGCTGATAGTGTCCAGTCTGGGAAATGCAGGGATAGGATAGGGGGTGGGTCTGGGTGAGACGCTATTCAGAGGGTTAGTGTGGACTTGATGGGGTGAATGGCCTACTTCCACACTGTAGGGATTCTATGCTTCTATGACATTTTATGACCTTAATTAACTCCATCCATTTTAAGGGTTCTGCAATGAAAAGAATGTCGTATTGCTGTACTTATTCTGCCTTCATGGGAAGGAATTAATGCCACTCACTAGCCTTGCTGTAACATTATGCCTCTCTCTTAATAGCCATTTAATATATGTCCTGATGCTCAAGTTCTTCTTTGATCACTGAGTGGATCAGGAAGGGAATTGTGATGGTTTCTTTTGGTAATTTCCCATTGTAATTGAAGGTGTGATAAAGAACTGAGCTCCTTTTGGTTTTCTGTGGAGGCGTCACCACTGACCGATAGGACACGTGTCTCCTTTCCAGATAAAAGCTTTAAACTTAATTCTCAGGTTCCAAAGCAATTTTCGCTGCCTTGCAAATCATTGGTTGATCAGTGGAAATCACTTATCCTCCTGGAGATATGTGCTTTGACTGGCCATGTGCAATGAGAATTGCACTTGTGGAACGCATGTTGGCTTCTTGGGTTTATTGTCTTCAATTTTTTATTTTAAAGTAGAAACTGTTGACCCATGAAGCACACCATAAATCTGTTCTTGCATTTACTGTTCTTTAATGGGCGGAGGTAAACCAACCTATCTCTCAGGATTAGGAACTAGAACTTTGTCTGCAGTAATGGTGCCACGCAGCTACTTAGTGGAATGCCCTCCTGTTCCATGCAGTGCCTGGAATTTGGATTTGATGCTTGCACTGTAAATAAATATCAGGTACTGATCAGGTACAGCTCATTTTAGCACCACCTCCCAAGATACGTTTCTACCCCCAAGTTTTTAAACTCGTGTACTTATCAATTACAGTCTTCTCTGTCGCCATTCAGTTGTTATTCTTATTCCCACAGAAGATGAGCAAAAGAACAAAATGGCTTCTCAGACATCCATTCAACAGCTAATTACGGAAAAGGACCAGGCTTTGGCAGATCTTAATTCAGTGGAGAGGTCTTTATCAGATCTTTTCAGGAGATACGAGAACATGAAAAGTGTACTAGAAGGATTCAAAAAGGTGCACATCGCTTTTATATTTCTTAAGTCATATGTTAAAAGATGTTAAAAGAACTCCCAATGGGGATATTGGAAGAAAATACACTTTTCTATGACCTTTTGCATAAAAACAAACTTATTTTCTGTCTTCTGTCTGAAAGAATGAAGAAGTATTGAAGAAATGCGCCCAAGATTATTTGGCTAGGGTCAAACAAGAGGAGCAAAGATACCAAGCTCTTAAACTCCATGCTGAAGAAAAACTAGACAAGTAAGTCTGTCAGATTGCTGTAGAGTACATAATGACCTGAGATTTTTGTCATCAAGGTTCAAGTAATCATGTTAGCTTGCAGGCCTGGCTGACCATGCTTGGAAATACAACTTCAAGAAATGTGCCCCAAATGCTACATAAAGGCATCATTTGAACCAAATAAACACTAGAGCCAAAGGAGGATAGGAGGGGAAATTTTAAGCTGAGCCAAAGAAGTGGGGTGATGGTGGGGAGAAAGGATCTGAAAGAGGTGGAGAGGATGAGTTAGACGGCATGGAGCCTAGACAGCTAATGGAACAGCCAACAATGAAAGGTTAAAAGGATAAACGACCTGGAGACCAGCTGTGTTTGGATAGTTGGAACAAGGACATGTGCGCTGGCTGATCAGGACCCACTATTGGATAGGACATCGGTGGCAGAGCTGTCCAGCATAAATAAAAATAGAAGGTGCTGGAGAAGCTCAGCAGGTGTGGTCACATTTGTGGAGAGAGTCTATCTTTTGAGTCCAATTCTGAGAGAGAGAGAGAGGACCAAGGAGTTGAGATTCAGCTTGAAGTCACCGAGGATGAAGAGTCATTGAGACATGTTAACATGTTAACAGAGATAAACTTCTTTCATTTCTAAAATTGAAAAGTGAATCCAACCCCAAGCACATTTGAATTTGAAATCGAAGTGTTTTTCTCTCCCCTGGTTACCAAGGTACAAGAGAAATGACTTGTGAAATCACTTAAGCTAGCCACCAATAGGTCTAAGCCCATAACCTTTACAGTGAGCAGATACACTCAGATCTAAACAGTTGGAACAGTGTTCCACCCAGGACTAAATAACTCTTGAGTCTTTTCCAATCACTTATGAGTGTTTTCATTCTTACTGATATCCTTCAATCTTTCATTCTGTTGCTCACCGCCACTTAGTTTTTTTACATATTTGATGCTGACACATCAGAATGAAAGTTGAGCTTTATTAGTTGTCTGTTTCACTTGAGGTAAAACTGCTTGTAAAGGCAAGATATTTTTGTCGTGATTGTAATGTAGTCAGCCAAGTTGGAGCTCATAGAATCTGAATTCCCTGACTGGGGCTGTTAATCTGGTCCAATCAGGGAGCCCTGGCTGACATATAAAAAGGGACTCTGAGAGCTGACTCTGTATGAAGCAGTACTGTAGTCACGGACTATTCCTGTGTAAATCAAGGGTGACTTGGTAATGGGATGCTGGCCTCTGAAGAAGATACTTGCAAATTGAAATAACTCCACAATGATCTGTGTGACCAGGACCTCTGGGTCTGAAGTGTGTGGCTTTCCCATTTTGTGCTCGCTTCTGGAACAAGTGACTTCACTCCACGAAGGTTGGAGTTTGATCTGCTCATTCATCCAAAGTGGCAAAATCTCTAACCCTCGGGTCAGGACTTGCTATCCAACCCTCCCACAGACACTGGGCTTAGCCGACTAACACACTGAAGGATGGGAATTTGCAGACCAAGCACATTATTCCCATTACGATTGGAATCCATCTTCTCTTAAGCACCAAATTCACTCTTAGTCTGGGAAGCTGTAGCCTAAAAAGAAGACCTGTAAATGTGTAGAGCAGGTATTCTCAACCCTTGTGTGTGTGAAGCCCATCTCTCTTGTTAGAAAGATTGCACAAGATAATTCACCCCATTCGCCTTCCTCCCATAACACAAGTATTATACCACAAGTTAGTTTCACAGTTAAATATATTTCTTACGATTTCTGTTTTATTTAATGTGGAACTTGTTGGTGTTGCTGAGCAACAAGTTTCTTTATTTCCTTATTCAACATGTGGGGAGTAAATTGGAAGCTACTAATTATCGTGGTCTTGTGGAATGGCCCTTGGAACGTAATTTGTTTGTGCCAAATCAGTTCAGTCAGGCTTGTAAATGCACCTTCCCAGAACCCATCTACAAAAAGTTTAATAAGTGCTTAACTCAAATTCTGAGACTCTTGGTATTAATTGTTAAATTGCGACTAGCAGACCCTGGATCATGAAGAGAACTCGAATGCAGTAGGCGTAGCTTTGCAGCTGTAAATTTAATGCTGTTTCTCCTGTAGTTCCTTTGAAATGTCATTTATTCAAAAGAAAAAACCAAAAGAACTACAGATGCTGTAAATCAGCAACAAAACAGAAGTTGTTGGAAAAGCTCACCAGGTCTGGCAGCATCTGTGAAGAGAAATCAGATTTAATGTTTCGGGTCCGGTGACCCATCCTCAGAACTCAAATCTCAACAAGTTCTAAGGAAGATTCACCAGACCCGAAATGTTAACTCTGATTTCTCTTAACAGATGCTGCCAGACCCGCTGGGCTTTTTCAGCAACTTCTGTTTTTGTTTCTGATATTTATTCAGCCTGCTTTCCATTATTTCATAACTTGACATCAAATTTTAAGAATAGCAGAAGTTGCAAATGATACGACAACAAAGAGTTTGCTGGTGTTGTGGTTCCCTCAAACCAATGAGTGTTAGTCATTTTCAGAAGTTCTATTCATTCCCAAATATACGATTAGGTGCTTCCCATGCAGTTAGGTCACACGTTTTACTGTTGCCTCTCGTCCTGTCCAGGACTTGTCAGTGTTCCTGTCTGTTGGGGTCGACACAGCATTCAGGACTGGGTCAGCAGTTAGTACAACATTTCTACATCAATCATGTCATATTTGATTGACAGATTGCATCATCCTCTCACTATTCTCAGTTGGTAGGGTGGGGTAAGTTGCATTTGTTCTGCTGATAGTTTAGATTGTGGCTGTGCGGGCTGTTCTATGAGATACAGCCATCGCAGGCATCTATATTGTCCACTTCCAACAGGCTCTGTACTCCTCAATTCTTTATTGTTTCGGGATTTCCACCACAATATAATCAAGGACACAAAGGGCATTGATATCAGTTGCTCCTAAGTTGAAGTTCTGGCAGAGGTCACTGCTACATGTAGAACTCTTGGAACAGTGGCACAGATCTCTGTTTACAAATGGCGGATACAAAGGAATTAAAATCAGTCTGCATGAATTTGTTGTTGTGAGGGCTCACGGTAGAGATCTTGCATGCTCCAGCGCTGTTTCGCAGCCCAGTCTGTTCAGTAACTCCCGTGACCAATTTGCAGGGCCAATGAGGAGATCGCTCAAGTGCGTGCTAAGGCCAATGCAGAAGGAGCAGCCCTGCAAGCCAGCTTGCGAAAGGAACAAATGAAAGTGGATTCCATGGAAAGGACAATTCAGCAGAAGGTAAAGCGAATGAGAGTTTGACGGTCACAGCACCAAAGCACAATTGTATAGTAACCCTTCCCAGAGTGGGGTTCAGGATCCCAGGTTGGGAGCATAAGCTGAAATTTTAAGGTTGCAAACTCCGAGGGAGCAGTGTCCACTGGGGAACTCTGGCAGTGTCGGACTAACTGTGCTTCTGCTCAAACAGGCATGTCCTCACACTCTGAAATCTCTCCTCCCCTTTTGCACCCTCTTCACTGAATTTTCACTGAGGTGGGGGGTCACAAAATTTTTAAGCCTTGATTCGAGATTAAAGTTGGAAAAATTGGGGAGCATGGTCTCGCTCAGAAGGCGGGAAGCATCTGTATGCCTGTGTCCACCTAGGCATGATGTGAGTGACAGGTCCCAAAGAAGGAACAGTAAGGTCCACTCAGCTTCCCTGCTCCAACTGATAACGCTGTCAGCTGTAATGTGTGTAATTTCGAGGAGAGATTGAAGACACTTTATTTATTTTCTTGCCATAGCACTTCCGAAAGCTGCTGATTATTGTCTGTTGGATATTAATAAATTCCTGGCATCTTACTCGGTAGGCACCAACTGAATATTTGCAGGCTGCATGCTCACCTAAGCTGTAGCTAGAATCAAAGCCAAGATTGTGAAGTTTTACTTTGCCATATTCACAAGTGATGAGACCATTTTATGGTGGTCTCTGCATTCACTGGTTAATCATAGACGACATGATTGGAACAGGAAATGTCCAGGCACGTGACTTTGTGTCACTCCAGCAGGACAGTTTACCCACTTCCAGATGAAAATGAATGGCAAGGTACAGACCGAGAAGTATTAACAGCTTACCTAGTTTCCAACAGGTTGCCAAAAGAAAAATAATTTCTTTCTTCATTCACAGAACCAAGAGATAGAGGAACTGACCAAGATTTGTGATGAGCTGATTGCCAAACTAGGGAAAACTGAGTGAAGGCTGCAAACCCAAAAATGGACATTGCACGACAAAGCTTCCTGCAGATCTTCGTTCCTAGAGCACGCTGCCTTACTTAGAAATAATATCCAATTCTAATGCATTTTGTCCCTGAAGTGGCAACACCCAGTAGTCTGCACAGCACATGTGGATCCGTCTTCATGCACTGTTTACCGCACAAACAGAAAAAGTTGCCAAAATATTCCCAGGGTTGTAGGCACCCATTTTCTCTGACATGTAATTTGCTTTGCTAACACGTCATCCTCATCTTTGTCATCCAGTGGCATTTAAAACGGCAACTAAATATACAATGCTTAAAGGTGCCATCCAGTTACTTTGTGTAATTATGGTGCCAGCCTTTTATCTTCAGTTACGCTTCCTGCAACTTGCTTCAACCGATGGTAAACCCAGACTGAGAGACCTTCTTCAATGTAATGTTTCATTGTCACAGTTCTCAAGGTTCATTTTTCTGAAATGAGTGCTTTGACAGTCAGTGCCATTTTTTTTTTTGTTTGAGTTCTTGCCTGCAGCAAAATCTCTCAAATGCTGTTTTGAATAGAAGTAGCAAACCCACTGAGTTGCTTGTGTCTTCCACCCCAGTCATTGCCATAGCCTTTGGACAATGCACTGGCTTCCCATGTAAAATGAGGATACTAATTAATCAGCGCTCTTGGTGCCAACAATGTATTTTTTTCTTCAAAGCAGTATTGGTTTTATGGAAGTCATCTTTAACAAGTACTTGCAGTAAGCATTGCTTCTATTATTGAATATTTTGTGTGGGCATGCAGACTCAAGGGGGAAACTGAGGAGACCACTTTTGATTTGGGTGTCTCATTCACGTCATCACCACCAGAGCCTCACCAGAACTGGTGAAGGACTGTGGAAAAACTTTATCCTTAGATTAAATCCAAGCTTTTCTTCTCCAGGCCTGCTAGCCTTGAGGATTCAATTACAACAGACCAGGGTCCAGACCTCAGCATTTTAGGTATGAAACCACCAAGTGACGGGCCACTGGTGGGGAAAAAAAACTGATCTAGATTGTACTTTGTCTTTTGTGCAGCTGTGAAGTGGGACAGTGTTCTTGAAGAGGGGACACTGGTGCACCCTAAAGTATCTAATTTCCGAGTTGAAGTGAAGAAACTTTTTTTTTCCTCTCGGGATGCTCACCATTTTGATGCTCAGGAGTTTTGCAAACCTGGGTTTGAGGTTTTGAGATGTTGGCATGCACCAGTGTTGCACACTGACCCTTCTTAAGAATGGCTTCTGTAAGGCAAACAGCTTTTCCTCACACGAGACCACACAACACATAAATGTATTCACGTTTCCGGCAGGTGCTGTACACTCAATCATATAATGGGATTTTGAACGCACAAAACTCTCTGTACACTGAACAATATTTGTTTACTGCTAGTTAGAGAATGTCATTGCCCTGAAACTGGCTGATAAAAAGTGCATATAACTTAAATTCTTGGTCTGGAGTCTTGTGTTTTTCCCTCCGTATCCTGTCTTTTTCAACAATGGCATAAAATGACACACAGCTGCATACTGACTGTAGAGTCACACCTGCTGGTTGAAGTCTGCATTTCAGTGACAGATATTGTTCTGCCTGCATTAATAATTTTTTCTGGTCTTGTGGTTGTGCCAGTGGAAATATGCTTATGGTGATTCCTTTTTGTGTGTCGTTTCCACTTGTGACTTGTCTGAGTAACTTGCACCAGCTCTGACATTCCTCTGTTATTTCTCCAACATTTTGCCTTGGCCATTTTAAGCTGCTTTTCACTTGGGAGAAAAACCCTTCACCTGCATAGTTTTTATACACAGATATATTTGTCTTTTTATATGTTATGGTTCAATGAAGATTTTTAAAGTTGTAACTACAAAAAAACGAAGATTATAAAATTTTAATTCCATGTACTAATATATTTTTTCCATTGTCATTGCCTGAATAAAAATGGTGAGTTTCACTTGCTTGAGTTCCATGTTCTGATTTCTTCCTGTTGCATGATACAGCAAAGGTAAGGACATGTTAAATATATACTGGTTTGGTTCAGAGGATGTGAGTGTTGCTTGCTTGATGAGCATTAATTGCTCATTGCTCATCGTTCAAGAGATAGTGATGATGAGCTGCCATCTTGAACTGCTGTATTAATAGTGGAGTAGGGACATGATGACACTGCAGTGTGAGAGGGTATTCCAGGATTCTGACCCACAACAGTGAAGGGGTGATGATTTGGAGGGAAATTTGCAGGTGTTGATGTTTCCATACGTCCACCCTCATCCTTCCAGGTGCTAGAGGTCATGGATTCGTAAGGTGCTGTCGAAGGAGGCTTCGGGACTTACTGCAGTGCATCATGTAGATGGTACACATTGCTGCCACTATGCATCAGTGGTGCATGGGGTGTGCATCAAGTGGACTGCTTGATCCTGATGATGCAAACACTTTATGTTGAATTGGTCACAGATTTGTCTTGATATTATTTGTTACCATACAAGTGAAGAAATGAACTCAATTCTGCTTCATGATTTCAGGAACATGCTTGCACCAATCGGCTTGTTCAGACCAGTAGAAGAATAGGGGTGATTTTGTGGCAGCGTTCAACAGATGAGGTGCAAAGCTCTGAAATGCGAGAGGCCTCCAAGTGAAAATAGGAAGTGCTGAAACTATACACCATCTCCATCATTGACCTTAACTTGTGAATACACTGTTTCTCAAAGGCAACATGACCTGGTTAAGTGATAGCATTGAAACATATTACCAAAGCAAAAATGACTTATTTGCAACCAAGCACGCTACCAAAAGGCTGGACGAAAGGTAGTTTTGGTTTAAACTTGTTGGGACAACAGTGTCTGGCAGATTGGTAAACAAGCTATGCCCTTGGGTCTTGAGTCTTCCATCAGCACTCGTTATACACGTGGACCGAATGGAGGACCGAATTTAACCGAGAGAAAAGAGCAAGTGGAAATGAATGTGCATTGAAAAAGTTCCTGTACATAACTGAAGAAAGAAAAACCCTCAACTTAGTTGTACATCATTTTCAGTCTCTTCAAATGTGTCGTGTTACTTGATCAATGAGTGACCTTAGAGTTCAGGCGCCCAAAGGTAGCCGCAACCATACACGATTTAATTGTACATCCAGTTTGAAAGGATAACAACTGGGTTGAAGGATTTACATCTAAGTGAGGGCAACTATGTAGGCATGGAAGCTGAACTAGCTGAAATGAACTGGCTTAGTCGCCTAGCAGGGTAGACAGCAGGGACACGGAGCAGATGTTTAAGGGTATATTTCAGAATGAGTACGTTCCTACTGTATGGAAACCCACCATCTGTGGTTGACGGAGGTATTTTGGGAAATCTTCAAACTTGCAGTAAAATTTGAGGTTCAACAGAGGGTGGCGACGATGCTGATTGGTGGTTGGGGCGACGATTTGTCTCAATGCAGTCACCACTACCAAACCAGGGTCGAGAGAGGAAGTGTTGTCAAGGGATGGTTAGACCCCAAACACTCTTTCAGTGTTTCCCTCCCTGCTCCTCCGACCAACAAAAAAAAGCCATTGTGAAGACCACAGTAACAGCAGCAGCAGAGTGAGTATAAATCATACTGGGAGCTAGCTGATCATATTGCGAGCTGCAGTGACCACCTCTGCAGCAAGGTTGGTTGCTCCAGGAACTTCAGCTCAGAGTTGATGAGCTGGAATCTGAGCTTTGAACACTGCGGCACATCCGGGAGCAGGAGAAGTACCTGGATGCTTTGTTTCCGGAGGCAGTCACACCTGGGAGATTAAGTACTTCAAATTTGGTCAATGGCCAGAATAGCAGGGTGTGACTGTAAGCGAGGCAGGTAGAGAGATCCTGCAGTTGGGAGCAGAGGAGCCTCAGCTCTTGACCTTGTCCAACAGGTACGAGGTACGTGCTCCCTGTGAGGATGAGGAAAAGGGCTACAGGGAGGATGAGCCAACTGACCACTGCACCGTGCTACAGGAGGCCATTCGAGGGGGGAGCAAAGAGACGAGTGGTAGTTGTAGAGGATTCGATAATCGGGGGGATAGATAGTATCCTTTGTAAGCAGGATCGAGAGTCCCGCATAGTGTGTTGCCTGCCCGGTGCCAGGGTAAGGATATCTCTGACCGGTTCGAAAGGATATTGGAGAGGGAGGGGGAGGATCCAGTTTTGTGGTCCATGCCGGAACAAACAACGTAGGCAAGACGAGGAAGGAGGACCTTTTCAAGGATTATCAGGAACTAGGAATGAAATTTAAGAGCAGGTCCTCAAGGGTTATAATCTCTGGATTATGGCCCGAGCCACGTGCAAATTGGCACAGGGACATGAGAATAAGTGAAGTAAACATGTGGCTAAAAGAGTGGTGCGGGAAAGAGGGGTTCCTTTTCACGGGGCACTGGCATCCGTATCAGAACGGGAGGGATCTGTACCATTGGGACTGTCTCCACCTGAACCGAGCTGGGACCAAAGTTCTAGTGAAAAGGGTAAATAGGCTGGTCAACAGAACTTTAAACTAGAAAGTTGGGAGTGGTGGGGAAAGGAAGGGTAAAACATCCCCCAGTGGGGAACAAAGCAGCAGGCTAACATATGTAGGGGTGGATTCCGCTTTGTGGAAAAATATGAAAAAAAATGACAGGCGGGGAGAACTTAGGAATGGTTATTAAAGTCTCCAGCACACACAAACAGCAAAGAGTGTTTGGAAAGGGTTAGGAATTAAACTTCAAGCACACTGGATAAGCGCATGACAATGAGAAGAGGCACAGGTACTACAGAACTGAAGGTGTTATATCTGAATGCACACGGTGTAAGAAAGAAGGCAGATGAGCTTGTGGCGCAGATTGAAATTGGCAGATATGACGTGGTGGGCATCACGGAGACATGGCTGCAAGGGGATCAGGATTGGGAGCTGAATATCCAAGGATATACATCTTATCGAAAAGATAGGTGGGCAGAGGGGATGAGGTTGCTTTATTATAATGAAATTAAATCAATAGTAAAAAAACGAAGTTGGGTCAAATGGTGTACAATCTGTGTGGGTACAGTTGAGGAACCATAGAGGTTAAAAAAAAACCATAGTTGGAATTTGGTACAGACCTCCAAACAGTAGTCCGGAGCTGGGGCGCAAGACACACCAGGAGGTAGAAAAGGTGTGTAAGAAAGGCAAAGTTATGGTGATCATGGGGGATTTCAATATGCAGGTGGACTGGGAAAATCAGGTTGGTAGTGAATCGCAAGAAAAGGAATTTGTGGAATGTCTACGAGATGGCTTTTTGGAGCAGCTTGTAGTGGAGCTCACTAGGGAACAGGCAATATTGGATCTAGTGTTGTGCAATGAAGCAGACTTGATCACAGAGCTTAAAGTGAAGGAATCCTTAGGAAGCAGTGATCATAAGATGATAGAATTTACTCTGCAATTTGAGAGGGAGAAGATAGAATCAAGGTAACGGTATTACAGCTGAATAAAGGCAACTGCAGAGGTATAAGGGAGGACCTGGGCAGAATTGACTGGGAGAGGAACCTAGCAGGAAAGACAGCGGAACAGCAATGGCAGGAGTTTCTTGGAATATTTCAGGAGGCACAGCAAAAATTCATCTCCAGGAAAACGAAGCATGGTACAGGGAAGATGAGGCGACCATGGCTGACTAGGGAAGTCCGGGATAGCATAAAAGCAAAAGAGAAAGCATATAATGTGGCAAAGAGCAGTGGGAAACCAGAGGACTGGAAAGCTTACAAAGACCAACAGAGGGCAACAAAAAAAGAAATAAGGAGGGAGAAGATTAAATATGAGGAAATAATGAGGTAAGCTAGCCAGTAATATAAAGGAGGAGTGTAAGAGTTTCTTTAGATATATAAAAGGCAAAAGAGAGGCAGAAGACATTTGACCGCTAGAAAACGACGCCACCTGGAATAAGTGCGTTGTCTTGTGAGGTTAGGTTGGACACAGCAGGCCTTACTTCCTCCTGGCGTTTCAAAGAATAAGGACTGACTTGGTTGAAGTGTTTGAGAACCTGAATGGCCTTGACAAGGTGGATGTGGAAAGGATGTTTACTCTTGTGGAAATTGCTGAGGAACTGAATAATTACTTTGCATTACTCTTCAGAGTGGAAGACATGAGTAATATCCCAAAAATTCGAGGGCGTCAGGGGACAGAGCTGAGTACAGTAACCATCACCAAGGAGAAGGGGCTCGAAAAATTGAATGGACTGAAGGTGGATAAATCACCAGGACCAGATGGATGTTACCCCAGAGTTCTAACGGAGATAGCTGAAGACATAGTGGAGGTGTTAGTGGTGATTTTTAAGGAATCACTAGAGTCCGGGAGGGTCGCAGAGGACTGGAAAATTGTAAATTGCTGACACACCTGTTTAAGAAGTGGGTATGACAAAAGACTGAAAATCACAGGCCGATTAGCCTAACCTCGATCGTGGATAAGATTGTGGAGTCCATTGTGAAGGATGAGATTTCTGAATACTTGGAAATGCATGGAAAAATAGGGCAAAGTCAGCTTAGCCTCATCAAGGGGAGGTCATGCCTGACAAATCTTTTAGAATTCTTTGAGGAAGTAATGAGCAGGTTAGACCAATGAGAGCCCATGGATGTTATCTACCTGGACTTCCAGAAGGCCTTTGACAAGGTGAGAGTGGGGTTGAAAGGGTCTTTCTCAGGATGACAGCTGGTGACAAGTGGTGTTCCACAAGGGTTACTGTTGGGACCACAACTTTTCACTTTATACATTAATGATGTAGATGAAGGAACTGTGGGCATTCTAGCTAAGTCTGCAGACAATACAAAGAAAGGTAGAGGGGCAGGTCGTTTTAAGGAGGCAGGGAGGCTGCAGAAGGATTTGGACAAGTTAGGAGAGTGGGCAAAGAAGTGGCAGATGGAGTACAACATGTGAAGGTGTGAAGTCATGCACTTTGGTAAGAAGAATAGAGGTATGGACTGTTTTCTAAATGGGGAGAAAAT